TTAATGAGACTGGTTGTGTTATTAATTTGAGACTGGTTGATAACACCGAGTGCTCCTAAGCAGCACTCGACCCATTGCACCTACATATTAATGGTGCCCCGTGTGAGGCAAATTGGTTTTGTTGGCTTCTTTGGATATTTGTTTCAACAATAGACAAATTATCAGTTTGCTTAGTAACTGCAAGGTTTGTTTTCAGGTGTGTTCAGACGGTTAATAGTATTTACTACTTACAACCTAATTTTATTAGATCTAGGAGATTAGTTCTTTATTTTAACAAATTATTAAACTTTACTGTTAATAATTAAATTAAAATGGCATCTCTGCGCACCTCTTACCACAAAGACACCGCTAAAGACGTGTCTCTCTTTGATGTTGTCGCAGATTTAATTCACTGCTCCAGCTCCACCAAGGCAAACTTTAAAAGGTTGAGCCAGGCTGAATGCAGGTTCACCATAGATGCCACTATAAAACAGATCAGAGACCCCAGATGCATTTCCAGTGCAGAGGAAATAATAGGTAAGCTATTCCTGCTCCACTTCAGAGACACTGATTTAGAAATCAGACGTCTTCATGAAGTGGCAGATAGGTTAAGCGACAGCCGAGACGAGCTAGCTCAGGCTAACCAACAGTTTAAAAGGGAACTCAGGCTTACTAACCAGTCCCTTACAGAGTGTGTCAGCAAGCTACAGAGAGCTGGAAAGGCTGACAAGAGGGTTGCTGAAGAGCAAATCCTCCAAAAGTGTTGCAATGACCAAGAACGAGCCAAAGCAACACATGCCCACTCTCTCTCGCTACCAGAGGAAAATTCAAAACAGGAAGACTATTCCGATGAAGATACTGAAAATCATCTTGGGCATAACCAGACAGCCCACCAAATCATCCTAGACCGCTACAAAACGACTCCATCAGATAGCCAGGCTGGAGCCATACCGCACTCGTCCAGAGCCAAATCCCTTGGCACACCCAAGCCGGTGTATTATGACATCCCTGATTCATCAGCGGATGAACTGGACCATAGACATAGAGAGCGCCATGAACAATCAGTAAATAGTTCAGACAGTGAATATTCAGAAAGATCAAGGAGGTCACGTAGAAAGGCAACCCGTGAACCTCGTATACGTCAAATTGATCTGCTAGCGCAGGACATTGAACGTTTTGATCCAGATAATAAAAACATTAATGTTAATGATTACCTACGGGAAGTTGACCGATGCCTTGTAGATCTGCCAAACGCCACAACACGGGAAAAGCTTAGGCTAATCTGGAAGACGTCTAGCAGCAATGTTCGGGCTTTCATAGAGACACTAACCCCAGAAGTCCGTGATAGCTACACGAGACTTCGTAAGTACTTGAAGGAAGAGTACGAGCAATACACTGACGAGACGTCTGCAATGTTGTGTGCTATGCAAATCGAGCAGAAACGGTCAGAATCCCCACGTGAATATTATAGACGGCTACGCAACGCATATTTCCAGGGTAGCAGTGCACCAGGCTTGGAGGAAGATAGAGGTTTCAAATCCCTCTTCTTACACAACCTCCACTCAAGTGTACGCAACCATGTCACAGTGACATGCAGACAGGGTTACTACTCCATGAGGGAAATTAGGCAGCTAGCCCAGATGACCTGGGAGACAGTCGTCAGACCAATGGACAGACTTGACGACGAACCCAGAGTCTTTAGTCTCCAGGATGCAGGAAATTCCCTGTTAGACTTAGAAGGGAGTGAAGCTCCACCAGGGAGACACACCTGGAGAAACCCTGCTCCAAAACCCCATCACCAAAGTGAGTGGGGAAGGAGACAAAATAGATACAGGAACAACCATGGTCAAAACTTCAGCAACAACAATAATTACAACAACCGACCCCGTGAAAGAGGTCGTAAAGACCAAGGTGGTTGGAAACGAGACGGTTACCAACAGTCAAACAAGAGATGGTGGAAACAGTCTGAGCGTGATCCGAAGCATAGGGGTAGGCATGTTCGTTTCTGTAACTCAGACGAACTGAGTGAGCTCCACTCAGAATTGGAGTCTGTAAAGGCTCAGTTAGCTGAAATTATTGACAGGTTTAATAGAGACCAGACCCCTCTTAAAAACGAATGAACACACCAATTAAAACAAACTTTACCCTTTAGCAGTCCTCACTCCAAAAGGGGGGTGAACGATAATTTGGTCTAACCCCTGACAACTAACACTTCTTTCCTTTCCTTCATTCCTTTTCTTTTCCAATGTGAAGAAATGAAGTTAATGGGTATTTTTAAATTGTGGTACATGAACGTGTTAGTCAGGTAGTGAGTTATCATGTACCCACATGTGTATAGCATGGTATTTGCCCAAATGCCTACAGCCTGGTATTTGCCCAAATGCCCATGCCTTGAACTGTTTGTCAGGACTCAACTTCTTCTGAGATTTTACAGGACTAAATGGACAATATGGATGACAATGGATTATGGAATATGGACTGTACAACCTTGTGCTCTCAGGGTTACGACTCTGTCATATCCCTAAGACCAAAGGGGGGATATGTAGGTACTACAACAGTCCTTTCAAGGACTCAAACTCCCATAATTCCACTGCTTCCGGTAAATCCACATACGTCACGATCAGTAACCTCCGCAACCTTTAAATTGGGGGGTCAGCCCAATATCGTTCTCTCTGTTCAGGACTTTCGCTCCGTAGGACCTCGATGAAAAGAGAAAACCTGCTCGTCTCAGAAGACTAAGAACCAACGCGCTTTTGTAGACACCATTGCCCACGGTGATAAATGCACTAGTAGCGTCTTTTTCTTAACTGAGTTAACCGGTAATTAAGTTACACAAGTAACGTAGCGCTGCGACCAAAGCAGTTATTGAAAAGTTAGAAGCGACAGGATTCCTTCTAACGGTATTCGTGTGAACCGGCACATCGACAGTCAGAGACTTTTCCTCCTGAAACGGACTTTCGGAACCAAGAGGACTCTCTGGACACAGTGGAACCAGACGGACGTCCCCAGCTCTGGCAAGGACCCAAGAAGCACGGACTTTCCACTACCCTCTAAATACGAGCAGACGTTCACTACAGTAAGGCTGGCATTTGGGCACGTTAGTTAATCTGTAGTATTGTTAAGTGCTATTTAAACTTAGGGACAGTTTAAGTACGCATATTGAATTTTGTTGTCTGAAATCTGTGCTGCTTTTATAGCTAGGCTGTTGCATGCACTTCTTTTCTAACCTCCTGACTCGGTGTTATACTCTTGTACACCGTCAGTATTTCAGTGTTAACTTGTAACGTTATCAGTATTGGGATCAGGAAAACTCCGACAAAGTCCTTTGTCTGGAGTAGACCACGCGGTACGCCTCCCTTCCCCCATATACTTTGATAACATCACAAGCACTGTTTCATTGTACCTGAGCGCATCTTGGTGCGCGTATACAACACCCATTCACACCTCCGTGAGCGCATACACGCCTCACGTGTTACCTGTTGCCGTTCCTTCTACCTCGCAGTTCTTCTTCCACTGCGCAGACGCGTATGTGAACACGCCTCAAGGGCTCAGTCGCTTGCTTGGTAGCTAAGAGGCAACATCTCTCTCTCTCTTTCTCTCTCAAACACGACCACTCGTGTACACACGCACATAAGTACACACACACACATACACATACCTACACACACGCCTTGTTTTGTTATGATGATCATTGTTTATGAGTTCAATCACCGTCATTAACTTGACAGTGTTGTATAAATAAATTTGATTATTTTTATAAACTGTATTCGTCTGTGTTGTTACTTTATTCATTGAAGCCATCCAATTTGCCAAGATCTCTAAAAATCCTTCAGATATTTAGTTGTTATTAAGACTATTGATTATAGTATGTGTGTAATACTCCAAGTAACACATTGTTGCTATATTACTAAGTTAAAATAATAATTAAAGATAACTTTAACGAGACTGGTTGTGTTATTAATTTGAGACTGGTTGATAACACCGAGTGCTCCTAAGCAGCACTCGACCCATTGCACCTACACCTGGAACCTGGTGGGCTTTTGGGAATCAGGCACCAGATATCTGGGAGTGTTGATTCCCATCCCTGTTGAATGTGGTCTCATCCAGAGGCCTCTGATTGTTTCTTTCAGACCAGTCAAGGTACAGAGCTGCTTTTGTTCCATCTCTCCATCAGCCCTGAATACAGTCCCAGAGCCAGACAGACCTGCGGGCTACGTCATCAGGGCTCTTTGTCCAGTGAAAAATTGGATTTTTTTTTGTCTGTTTATTTTATTTAATTTTTCTACTACAATCACGAGATAGTGAGAACACAGGGCATTTGCATGTTCAAAATGTCAAGACTTTATTGGCTCTGAGCCTTGTCAACTGGTCTGCGAAGAATGACGTAGATAACGTCACCTCTGGTATCTCAATCTGTACCGTTTCTTGACACACCAACTTGTTACCAGACATTTTGAATCTATTTAGACCTCCAAGCTTTTTCCCAATGCCTTTTAGAGGCATCATTATGTTTATGTATAGCAAATAGAAATGCGTTCAAAGTAGAAAAGACCAACAAGGCTTTCTTTGTCCTTGTGTTCAAGAAACTTTTTTTTTCATTTAATTAAAAATCTCAATAAATAAATAATGGCCTCTTTTCCTCGTGTGTATAATGACTGCATGAAATGTATTGAAACTTTTTTTTGTTTAACACAATCAATACAGTAAAGACCTGACAGTTGTGCCACACTGTTTCTGAAGAAAAATTTAAAAAAAGGAAATTGACTTCCTCAAATGTTTAAACTCATTAATGATAAATGAGTTCATGTCCTTGTGTTGTATGTTTTATAATTTTCCAATCCTTTTAATACTTTATTAACTATAAACATTAAGAGAAATAATTATTTAATAATAAATTAATAATTAATTATTATTATTATTATTTAAAGCACATTGGGATAAACTTCACCAAAACACACCAATCTACAACATTGTTATTTTTCTTTTACTTAAGTTAAGAAAGTTACACAAAAGGTGGCAACATTTTCAATAATAAATAATACAACAAACAAAAACATTTTCTTCCAGAGCTATAACAGTCTTTTTCTTTTAACTTAAAGAAATACTAATTTACACATCTTTGGGAAAAATAAGAAAACAAAACAAAAAAAATCCAAACGGTCTCAGACAGACACCAAATGTCCCACAAACCTTGTGGCAAAATAGAGGTATACTTTGTTGAAAAATGCTTTTTTTTTTAGTACTTGGTGTTTTTTTTTTTTTGTTTTGTTTTTTTCTGGGGAGCTGGTGGGAATTTAACAAAGAAAAAGCAGTGTTGTTCCCTCCCAACAATCTTAATACAGGATGAAGTGCATTATTTCTTTTCCTTTTTTTTTAGAAAAAGTTTTCAAGTTGCACAACATCCTGCGCAGCTTCTTATTCCCATTTCCCATTTGACGATGGACCCAATGTTTATTTTCTCCTCCTTTTGGCAACTTTAACCAGGTGTGTAACACAATGACGCATGGATGGATAGATGGAGACACTCTGAGGTCCATCCTCAGGATGTCCATATTCTTTGTCTCTCGGTGGAACATTATTACGATCTGGTTCTAATGTGGTAAAATGCCATGATTGTCTTCACAGTGTCAAAATGCAACCAGGGTAGGCGGGCTCGGTCAGGTCAGTCTGTTAGAAAGGGTGGTGGTGGCCGTGGTAGGTTTGGATCAGCAGTGTGTGTTTGTTTGTGTCTGTCCAGTCACATCAGTCCATTTCCACGTGTCCACCAAAATGTTCTTAGGCCTCGATGGGGCTGGATACCATGCTGTTTGGCGTGTCTGGAAGCTGCGACGACATGGACGCCACCTCACTGCCCGTCGAGTTTGAACCCGGCCCCCCCTCTGAGAAACTGACCTGTGAGACATATGACGCTGTCAGAAACAAAAACGTTGGCCACAAAATGTTCATCCTGTCCACTACTGTCAGAGACCCTATCTGTGGGGCTTTAGCCTGTATGTTTTCTTATGAGGAATGGCAGAAGAAGCATCAAGTTCTAAAACTACATTGCAGAAGTGTACTTAAAGTAAGTAAAGGACTTCAAATTAATCATTTTGAAATGCAATCTCTCTGTTACTGTTCTGCTAAAAGCTGTTGCTGCGGCAGAAGACCAAGATTTAGTTACTGTTAAGAGGATTGTTTTGTCTTCACTTTGGTTTGCAAAAACAAGGACACATTTCTCACTCATTCATTGTATATAAGGAAAATGAGGTTCTTACTGTAAGCTTAATGGTCCCTTTGTCGTTATTAGCTGATTTGAATTTAAATAATTAAGATAATAAGATTAGGAAATTTAATGTCTATGTTTGTTCTATTTATTTATCTTGGAAACAGTTTCATTAAATTCATCACTTACAAATTTACCTCAGTTTGCATTTTGTAAAAAAAAAAAAAAAAGCTGCAAATGTTTAAAATACTGCAAAAATGATATTACACACAGAACAGCTCTTATCCAGATGAGGGAGAACTAGAGGGTGTAAAGGTGGCCACCCGGACTTTCTCCATGCGCCTCCTGCCTGAGCCCCCGACCTACAGACCTGCAGAACATGCTGATATTGTAATATTGATGAACATCAAATACAAGAGGGTTATCGACATATAATAGATCCTAATGTAAAACCTATCACACTCTGTGTGACAATATCAAAGTGTATGTCCAAAAATGGAAAGTCCCATGTTTTGATGCTTCTGCACTTCCTGGTAACTCTTTATTTTTTCCTTCTTCTGTTCCTTTCACTGTGTGTCTGCATTGTTTGACTCTCTCTTGTTCTCCATAATTTCTCCTTTGACTCCAATTTGAATGAGACTCTGGTTAAACAAGAAGAAAAGACAACAGGAAAGGGGACATGTTCATATTTGTAAACAGCTGACACTACAAATATTTTTTATCAACAGATGATTGTCCTCTGTGTAAATCAATATAATAATCGACAAGTTGGTTTGAAATCTTAAACAATAAATCCATCATGTTCATCATGGAACATCAGCGCCGTCTTTTGACTGATGAGGTGAATATGTATTTTTGGATGAATTTTTCATACATTTTTACTGCTTACGAAACTCATCCGTCACTTAATCCACGGATTATTCGTTGGAGTGAGCACGCAGCCAACAAACGGTTATTAACATCTCTATCTTACATCGATATGTCCGTAATATTCGTCTTAATTATTGACGTTTTTTTATATTCAACTCTTAGTCCGGCTGTAGTCATACAGTCTAAGAAATATTCCAAATTACGGCAGTAGTCCATGTATAATGTGGTGGCGGAGCACGACTGTGATGCGTCACTTCAAAATAGCCTACAAACCCAGCCCGTAATAAAAGCGCATCTAGCAGAACCGTGTTGTTCCTTCTTTTTAGTCAGAGGTCTGTGGAGATCATGGAACTGTTCCTCTGTCTCACACCATGGATTCAACAGAAACCAGTCAAGCAGCAGCCGCATCATAACAAAGTCGACCAGATGTCACGAGTGGAACCATAGCATTTTTCATCATCTGCAGCTGTACTAGTCTATCTTTAAATAAAATAACGTATTTAATATCGATTAATGCTGCGGCCATGCCGACTGACACAGTGGAGATGCTGTATAATCTGTAGCAATTCCAACGGAATCATTTTTTTTTAAATACATAAGAACCTCCATCCATTGGTAAATGTACATAATAAATTATATCACCATGCAGTCAATTTAAATATAATGATTCTGGTGATTTTGCGCAGAGATGTATGTGAAACGGATGTGAATTAAAAATCTAATTATTTTTGCCCATAATAAATTGTACTATAAAGTGTGAAGATCAAAAGTAAATAAGAGGAGAAGCAGACGCACCAGCTGCTGGAAGGCCGGATGGTCGATGTCACTCTGCAGGGCGAAGTCGCTGAGGACCTTCCACGGCGCCTGGTAGCTCTGCACCTCCACCGGGTTGGCCTGGATGACGCCGTCGTGTCGCTCCGGACTGGCTGCCACCATCGGAGTGCCCGTCATTCCCTGGATGTTCTGCAGGAGCAAAACACAAAATGCAATTGTTTTAGTCCAAACAAGAAAAAAAACAAACAAACGTGTAAACACACAAACAACAACATTAATTAAAAGAGGAACAGGGTAATTGTTTTGTGTGCGCCTGCGCTTCTCAGTTTCGTTATAAATATTGATCTTTACAGAACTCAAACTGTAAACTAAATTACGGTTTGGTTTCAATTCAGTTAATTTAATTTGAATAGACGGATTTTTATAAACCACAGTTTTCTCCGGCGGTACAGTCTGTAGACATCTTTTCCCAAACCTTCAACTCAAACAACAATAATCGATAACTAAACAACAACATAAAATGCCTAATAGAGAATCTTGCTAAATAAATGTAAAATATCTAAATAATGCATAAAATATCTAGATTAAAATAAACCCTCAGCAGAAGAACTTGGTCTTTAACAATGAAGGAAAATTATCTATTAGGAACAGACTCAAAGAGCACAGCCACTTGTCAGTAGGGCGAATGGAACAAGTGAAGAAGTAGAGGGGTTAGAGATCGAGGGAGTAAATAGGGACAAAGAAAAAGGAGCAGAGAGATGGTGAAGACACAGGACACGGACCATACAGTAATTTAATTGAAGCTTTGATATGTTTATAAAATAATTCTGTTCAAATAAACTCTCTCTCTCTCTGTGTGTGTGTGTGTGTGTGTCAGGTAGAGGCAGAGAACTGAAACCCCACTGAGAACAATCAATAAATACAAAAACAAACAAACAACAGAAATAAACAGAGAAACAGACCTGTGTGTGTGTGTATACCCGTATTACATATGTATGTGTGTGTGAGGCAGAGCCTGTTTTATTAAAATTAATGGCTGAAAAATTGCTTTTTTGTTTGTTTGTTTGTTTGTTTGTTTGTTTCCTTTCTTTGAGAATTCCTTCAAAACACCTAGCAGCACTTGTTAAAAACCTCATCCTTCTATTCTATAAAAATATTTCAATCACTTCAGCACTGTTGTCATTTTACTTTTTTTTAACCATTTGATATTTTCTTCGAGTTTTATAAATCACTTCTGATAAACATTTCCATTGGTCGATTCAGTTAATTGCAATCCCACAATAAAAATATTTATTTTTTTGTCCAGATCATGGAATAATTTCCCTTTGTCATTTTACTCAGATGTTCTCTCAGCCACGCAGCCTGGAGAAATTACCACACATTCTCCTCGGAGAAATGTAATGTGGCTCTGTAAATTTAAATTAAAAGCATTTGAGATTATAAGATGTGTTTATCTGTAATACATTTTAGACCTCCTTTAAAGAAACACTTCCTGTTTCAAGTGTAGCCACAGAGAAAATTGTGCCTGGCCATTTTGGCACAGTTTTACATTAAAGTCCTTCCTGGCTTTGACTCTTATATTAATACATTTAATGGATTTGTTTATTTTTATATTTTTGTAATTTTACATGGGGCTACGACTTGGTGGGAAATTGTTGAAAAGCATACACCCTATCTTCTAACCTATGGCAGATATTGTGTATAATGAAATTTAATTTTATATTAAATGTAATATTTTTAAAGACCACCTTATATATATATATTGAGAACCACAAGGCCGTTTTCTTCTTACCGTTTTGTCGCTCGTCTGCTGAGACTGTAGCTGCTTCATCAACTGGCTCCTCTTCTTGTCCTTGCTGCGCTTGTTCTGGAACCAGACCCGGATGACCCGCGGGCTGAGGCCGGTCATTTCCACCAGCTGCTCCTTCATGAGTGCGTCGGGCCGCGGGTTGGCGTTGTAACATGTCCGCAGCGTGTGCAGCTGCTTTTCATTCAGAACCGTTCGAACCCTGGTGGTCTTCTCCGGCTGTTTGTGGACGTGAGGCCGCAGCGCAGGCTGACGGGCCGAGATTGGTTCTGCTGTGGAGAAAGGACAGAGGGTGAGGGTGGAGGTCAGGGTGGGGAGCCCAGAGACAGAATCAGATGAACTGTCGGAAGATACGGGAGGTGATGCCCCAGCAGTGTGTATGTCTTCGACTCTGTGTTAGTGTGTGGGCAGTGCAAGGGCGAACATTAACACCAATTTCATATTCATTATTTATAACGGTTATATTGCCACTTGTCCTTATTTACGTTAAGCGATAATATGTCACAACGCCGTTATGTCAAATGATATTTAGAAATAATGCTCGTGTTGTCGTCCAAAGCCATGTTAAAAAAAACTGGATTCAAAACATTAAAAACCGTGATGTGCACACGAATGATATCTGTATCTCACAATGCACAATAAACATGCAGGAATTACATCTTCATTGCTATTTTCGGTGTATTTATTTTTTATAGGTTTCCAATTTAAAATAAAAGCTGCTGACAACATGTTATAAGCAGAACACAATAATTATAATATTAAATTAGGTCAAAAAGAGTAGTGTTCGATCTGATGTTGACACCAGATGACCTCCATGCTCTCCTGGGGTAACAATAAGATGCCCACAGTATCCATAAGCCTGGACCAGCAGGTGGTACAGTACCTGTAGATACAGCCACACGCTGCCTCAGCTTTTACTGCAAGTCTGGGGGGCCTTAAAGTGGGAGAACACGCTTCAAGTCGGATTGACTCATCTCATCCCAAATTAACAAGCTGTTCTGGAGAAAAGGACATGACAGCAGTCCTTCAACCCCAGCCCACGGCTCTTTTTTTACCCCTGCTGCTATGATAACACGGTGTATTTTTTACTATCTAATCTCCAGAGTCCAGAGTGCTAACACTTTTCCGGCACAGAGGAAATCACAAAAGCCGGTTGTCGTGGGGGGTAAACCGCTGACATAAAAGCGTATTCGAACCTCCGGGACTCGCCCGCTCCACCACGTCGTGGTACGCCCGGCAGAAGAGACCGTCCTCCCGCAGTGCGAACTCGTCTCCGGGAATGAGCTGACGGCTGCAGGCCACGCAGCGGAAACATTCGATGTGGTAAACCTTGGTGCGGGCCCGCATCACGAAGTCGTTCTTGCTGAAGCCGATGTTGCATTTGGCGCATTTGATACCGTATAACCTGCGCAAACACAAAGAGGGCAACGGGGCCATCAGTTCCACACCAGTTCTTTTTATTATTATTATTATTATTATTATTATTATTATTATTATTATATCGCACAAAATGCTTCTGTTATAACCTATATACAATTTAATGACATATTCATATTATTCGCGAATGTATAACTTAATTATATCAATATTAATAATAATATTAATTACAACTATAATTTAAAGAATATTTTCATCTACTTCCGGTGAGTGTGTTGTTATTTAACAGGACGCTCTACATCTATATTCTTGTGAGTTCCAGTCAATATCAATATTTTTCAAGATAATTGATCACACATCTACAATTTCATTTTTTTCATCCAATAGTCAGACCCATCCATTGTCCCTGTTTATTTTCCTTCCTAAGAATTCAGAACAATGATCGTGGGCTTTAACAAAATAGTACTAATATTCGTTTTTGTTTTGAGGCTGAATTTGAGTGAAATTTGAATGCGTTCACGGTCGAAAGTTGCGGACTTTGTCCCTAAAGAGCCAAATAAAACTGTAGCACTGAGAGACTTCTCTTAATTTCAACTGCCTCATCCTGAAAATAAAAAAAATGAAAAAGGTAAAATTAATCGATATTATGATCTAGGCTCCGCGCATGTGGTCTCTGTGCGTCCTGCGGGGGTCCAGTCCTGGTCAGGGATGGGGTTTGGACTCCTACCTGATATAGTCCCGTTTACAGTAAGTCTTTCCGTCCCGCACGAAGCAAGTGCACGACTCGTCCAGGTACTGGCTGCACTCGGCGCACTTGAGACACGCAGCGTGCCATTCCAGGTCCGGGGAGACCCGAAGGATGTACTGGTCGTGGATCTGGTTTCCGCAGCCCACGCATAGAGAGACAAGCCGCTTCTCTGAAAAGAGTAGCAATAGTGAGGTTGAGGCATGGTGACACACTGCAGTGCAAGAGAGGATGAAAATATTATTAGTAGTAGTATTAAATTTTTATGTTTATTTTCATTATTGAATCTAAATTCTCCTAATATAAGTGTTAAATAAACTACTTTTTAAAATTGCGGACAGATAAAGTCAGCTCCCAAGTTCTGATGAATTTAGTTCCAAAGTCGCATCTCAAACACCGCAGCAGTGTCTTACTTTTCGGCGGGTCCCCCATGTCTCCCATGTCCACAAAGTATGGCGACGTTAGGTCCACTGTCACAGCGGGCAGAGCCTGGAAGTGTGACCGGATGGAGGATGCGTCTTCGGCTGGCTGCAGATCAGCAGGGCTGCAGGGCCACGGGCTTCACTGCAGCACAGTGAAAGAGAGAAAGGAGAGAGTGTGTGTCCGTGGCTGCGTGTGTACGCGTGGCGGGTGTGTGTGTGTTTAGAAGTTTCTCTGTGTGTGTTAGTTGCCCGTGTGTGGAGCTCTGATCCGGTCAGGCCGTGGCAGGGCTGACGTAGGGTATAGCACGTCATCTGCATGAGCAGCTGATTGGCTGGTCGGACTGCTCAACACACACGCACACACACACACTTTTGCACAGCTATTCTTTTAGGACATTGATTTCCATTCATTGACTTACATCCATTCGGTCATTCAATGTGCAACAAAGGCTGGAGCCTAACTTTGGTCGCAACAGCACATGAGCTGTGTCCTTTCTGAATGTCCTACCAAAGTGTGGCAGTCATTTGAATCGGAGTCAACTTCTGTCCTGATAGATTATAATAAATAGAGATAATGCCTAGTGGTGACAGACTAACTCTCAAACTACCCTGAGGTTGCGACCTTGCAAACAACATCTCAAGGCAGTCATTGCGTTCCTGAAGACCATATTTGCAAGACATGGAGTCCCATGTGAACTTATATCGGATAATAGTCCACAGTTCGCAAGTAGTGCTGACTTTGCAAAGGAATGGGGGTTTCAGCACATAACATCTAGTCCACATTATCCCAGGTCCAATGGCCTTGCAGAGAGCTCAGTCAAAGTTGTCAAAGGACTCATGAAGAAAGCACTTCATGGAAAAGAAGACTTTCATCACAGCCTGATGATTTACAGGAGTGCGCCACTGCAGAATGGCTTGTCCCCAGCCCAAATGCTAATGGGGCGATGCTTGAGAACCAATCTGCCAATGCATGAGAATCTCTTAACAGCCAAAGGAAATCAAAATGGACAAAGAAAAAGAGAAACAAAAACAGCAACATGACAAAAGAGCAAAAAACTGCGTGAATTAAGGCCAGGAAAACATGTCAGGATCAGAGATCATGTGACAGGCATCTGGGATATGCATGGTACAATGCAAAAAGAGGTGGCACCCCGCTCTTCAGACAGAGCATGGAGGGTCTCTGAGAAGAAACCGTGTCGATCTCATGCCACAAATGTCAAGCCAGACAGGGGTGGAACAGCCCGACATAACACCTAAAGCCAGAGACAACACCCTCAAGCATAATGAGGAACTGGAAGTTCCTCACTTACTCTCCTCCTAAGACACCTTGCAGGTCAAAGCACACTATTCAGCCTCCCAAGAGTCTCACTGAAAGTTGCTGAACACTAGAGACTGTAAATTTGTTGTGTGTGAGGGAAGAAAAAGGTTAATAATATTGTGATATTGTGGATGTTTGAAACAGAGCATTTAGAGTAAGGTAATGCAAGGTACATTAGGTCTTGGACATAGTCTTAGTTGGGTTAAAAGTTAATTTCTTCTTCTTAAGGGGGTAGATGTGTTGTTATGTGTTGCTTTAATAAACCACATTACCCATGATGCACTAGGCAATAGGTTACCGGGAGAGACCATGTACTTGGGGGGAAGTTCCAGTAAAGGTTTCGGCATAAACCCACACTGACCGTGTGTGTGTTTTCTAAATGCACTACATGGCATAACAATGACACCTTGGTAATGTCAATGATGCATGTCCTGTTGCCCGTCCCTGTGAAAAAATATAATCTGCATGGTATGATAATAATAATAATAATATACATTTTATTTCATAGGTAAATTTGTCTGCAGACTTACAGCAATGACTGCCACAGTGCCAGCCATCAGTGTCAGGGCTCTTAATGATGACAGTTGTGTGCTCCTGTGCAGCATGCTGTGCATGCAAAAACACCCTTGTGTCACATTTTTCAAGATCACACTGCAGGTCTTCAACAGCATGAACAGATTGTACACCCTCCATTACAGTCATACAGTGACATTGATCCCTATGTGTTAAGATCTGTTACAGTAGATTAATTATACATACTATTACTCATAAATATAGTTATTGTGGTTTCAGCTGTAGTTTTAAACAATTTTACAGTTACAATTTACAGCAGAGAAACAATTCTGAATCTGTGAGGTCAAGTCCACTGGTTAACAAACATGAGGTGAGAGTGTCCGATGCATCGTGCAGCCACAGATGTGCGGTCACTTCTGTTCTGACCTGAGCATGTAAGCCACGGTCGACTTAGACAGGATGATGACAGGTCAGCCCTGTCAGCTGAGTTGCAGGACGCTGACATACTCTCTGCAGGAAACACCCTGTTCCATAGGAAACTGTTACACATGCCCACTCAGCACATTACGCACTGTGATGAACATTTGAAAATTAGCTTTTTTTTTTCAAATATAAAATCATAGTAAACTTTTGATGTAATATATATATTACATGCTATATTTTTAACTGCATTTCTTAAGAGGTTTTTGTTGTTGTTTTTTTTACAGTTTGACATGAAAAACATTGTCCATCCATCCATTTTCATCCGCTTATCCGTTACCGGATCGCGGGGGCAGCAGTTGCCACCCAAATCGCACTGCACCGTACCAACTCCCCTGAACCTTCCTGCAGGTGGCGAGTCCACTGGAAGGTACCAACCGCCCTAACCGGGATTCAAACTTTCCCAGGAGGTGAACCCTGGGGTTCCACACCAATGACAGAGACATTGCCTCTGGGCCAAAGCGCCACGAAAAACGTTGTATAATGTCAATTTAAATTTAATTTCAAGTTATTTGTATTCAATTTTATAGTGTATTTTTATGGAACCTAAATTAAACATACTTTGGAACATACTGTTCTAACAGCATTAAACATTAAAGTTAAGTCATTAAAGTCTAAATTGTGGTAAAAATTTGAGCGACCTTTGGGTTGATTTAAAACTTTTAACAAACATTTCCTAAATTTGTCTCGTCTATTGTTTGAGCACAGCAAAATTGATAAAATGTAACAAGAACTTGAGCGTTCCCTGGCATGGCTTGGTAAAATCATTAGCTTAAGATGTCACACAAATCAGTGTTGCTGGAAACGACATGACGTTGCGTCATACCAGTGGCCAGAAATTAACGACTATTGAGAAAAATATTACAGCATTTGCGTTATGGCGGGCCACAGGACAAGCCGTTCAGTTGACAGTTTATCGTACATGTTAAAGTGTAAGACAAAGTTTTACCTTAAAATCACTTAATTGGTTGTAGGGAGGCACGTAAAGACAAGTGAATTACGTGACTACTCAGCTAAAATGTACTTTTTAAGACAAATATTTACATTTATTTCTGAATTATTTTATGACATATCACACTTAAAAATCCACTGTTTGTTAATTCATCATGTTCCTCACCACAGATCAGGCCTGATGTAGCACATTTTATTGGTAGGAAACTGCTGTAGTAACTCCCAAGTGTACTTACTGTATATCAGGTTGAGAAATATGTAAAAGTTGTGTGACAGGGTTGGTCTAAAACTATAAAATCTTAATGAGAGTTATACAGTCTATTTTTCTCTTTTACTTCTGTTGTGTTATTCCCCGCTCTGCATATTTGATTTAGCTAAACGTTTTACGCCGGATGCCCTTCCTGACGCAACCCTCACCATTTATCCGGGCTTGGGACCGGCACTATAAACACGGCTTCGTGTACCCTAGTGGCTGGCTTAGATAATAGATAATAATAATAATAATAATAATAATAGATAATAGAGATAAAAAAGTTTTTTTTTGTAGCTTGACAGAATTTTTTTTTCTCACTTATACATTTTCTGCTTCAGTGTGGACCAATAAACATGATGGCATGGAAGATACTGGTTAGAATTTGACATGTTTTTGAAAATGAAGTTAGATTTGAATGCATTTGTTAAATTAACCTTCACATTTTTGTACACACCGTTTGTCCTTGCAATGATTTTCATCTTGTCCCAGAATATGAGTATTAATGAACATGAGGAAAAGTTGGCACAAGTCATGCAGTACAGGAACATGCACACGCACGCATACTCATGCAC